AGAAAGAAAGAAAGAAAGAAAGAAAGAAAGAAAGAAAGAAAGAAAGAAAGAAAGAAGGACAATGGGAACAATCTTCTCATCCCCTAACATAGGGGCTTAATTTGGTGAAGGATGCCCAGGCCATCATCCTTAGTGTGCAATCTTAGTGTGTACTATCCCCTTCCTCTGAATATCCACTTCCTGTTCTCTCTTTCCTTCACTCAGTGCACCCCAAGATCTGGCTACCTCGGGCCCTGAGGCAGACGTACATCCGGAAGGTTGGGGACACAGTGAACCTACTAATTCCATTCCAGGTGATCATGCCAGCCCCTTACTGGGACCAGATAACAAGAGTCCTGCTAGCAGTGGGGCAGTCTTCCTGAATGGAAGGGTCACATCTCCAGAAGTGTAAGGCCAAATGACCCGTTTATTCTTCACCCCTGAGGGTGGGCTTGGGTAGGGTCAGGGGTGCCTGTGGGAGGAAGTAAGTTAATCTATGACCTTCTGTCTGAAGAGGTCTGGGAGCCCTTAACTTGGAGGGCTCTTGGGAGTTTGGGCAGCTATTAAAGTTAGTCCCAGGGGTGTCCATAACCTCGATTCCATCCCCTTTCCCATGATCCTCAAAGCCATCCCCCCTTTCCCATGATCCTGAGGCTGTTGCTGAAAGGAAGAAGTCCCCAGAAGAGTCCACCAACCTCTAGCTCAAGGAATTTGCAGCTACAAATCACCCAACACTGTGGACCTGGGGTAGAGCTGAACTCAACCGCCACAGGGAGGCTACAGAAGCCTCTTGGGCTGCTCCAGCCATATCTACATTCTTCAGGGCAAGCCCAAACCTCGAGCCACTTGGACACACAATGGTTGTGCCTTGGACACCCGTCGTGTGAGTGTGCGGAATGGTGAGCAAGACTCCATCCTCTTCATCAGAGAAGCCCAACGTGCTGATTCGGGCCACTACCAACTCTGTGTGCAGCTGGGTGGGCTGGAGGCCACTGCCACCATTGATATCCTGGTGATTGGTAAGTGGAGGTGGGGAGGGGAGGTAGTTCCTAGGAGCTCCCTCTTTAGGTTAAAGAGGAGCCATCTTAGGGAAAAAGGAAAGCTGAGCTGATGCCCCAACCCCAAATGTGGGACACAATGGTGGGTGAGAGGGAGGGGCCTGAGCAAAGAGAGAGGCCAAGCTGGCAACGTGGCAGATGCCAGTAATCCCGTGACTCAGTTGCCTAAGGCAGGAGGATCACAAGTTCAAAGACAGCCTCAGCAACTTAGCACCCTGTCTCAAAGTAAAAATATAAAAAGGGTTGGGGATGAAGCTCAGTGGTAAAGCACCCCTGGGTTCAATCCCCCGTACCAAAAAATGAAATAAAGTTTAATAGGGCACTTTTCTCAGTGGAGTTTAGTGTGGAGAGAGGGAGAGAGATGGGAGGGCAGGAGGCACTCTTGATTTTGATGCACGTGGGTTATACTATGCCCACTGCTATGGCTTTGCTCTTCCAGAGAGGCCAGGCCCTCCTCAGAGTATTAAGTTGGTGGACGTCTGGGGCTCCAACGCTACCCTGGAATGGACACCTCCCCAAGATACGGGCAACACGACACTTCTGGGATACACAGTGCAGAAGGCTGACACAAAATCTGGGGTGAGGCCCAGCAGGAAAGGAGGGAGGAGGGGACAGGGCATTCTGAAATGGTCCTCTGGCAGCTCCATGTAGGATGAGTTCGTAGAACAGTTGTCTCACGTATGGCATCTTCTGGGGCCCCGTAGCTGTGGTTCACAGTGCTGGAGCAATATCACCGCAACAGCTGCATTGTCTCCGACCTCATCGTGGGCAACTCCTATGCCTTTCGTGTCTTTGCTGAAAACCAGTGTGGACTCAGTGAAACAGCCCCCGTCACTGCTGACCTTGCCCACATCCAGAAAGCAGGTAAGGAAAGCGCAGAGATCACTACTAGAAAGACTTAAAGAGTGGAAGAGGGATGGGGATCTCATGCCACATCATGCCCACAGCTACTGTTTACAAGACCAAGGGGTTTGCCCAGCGGGACTTCTCTGAAGCCCCAAGGTTTACCCAGCCTCTGGCAGACTGCACTACAATCACTGGCTATGATGCCCAGCTCTTCTGCTGTGTCCGCGCGTCTCCCAGGGTGAGTGGGGAGTTGGGGAAGTTGAAGGGGCGGTATGAGCTGTTTCATGCTCCCATCCTAACTTAGTTACACCACAGAGCATTCTAATTTCACATCTCCTCTCCCTGCCATCATCTGCCTCTTTAATGGCAGGTTATTTAGGAACAGTCAGGGCATTTGTAGTTCCAGATGGACAGATGCAAATGATGTTTCCTTTTAGTATTGGTTCCTCATATACAAAGATGTCACTTCCTGACCTGCTGCTATTGGGCATGATGGAGTCCTGCTGGTTTGTCCTCACTCACTTACCCAGACTTCCTCTGTTCAGGGACAGACACATGCAAGTTGCCTAAAGTTGGGCCTCTGGCTATAATTTTGAGGGAGGTTTTCTATTTAAAATCTAGTATTAAATACCTTTAACAATACCCTTAGAAATCTTCACCAAGTACCTTTTGGATCATGAGACAATATGGCAATCACATCTTAGAAGGGTAATATCAATATGCCCACTCTAGAAACTACTTTCTAACAAGAGGGGAGTAGTCACAAGACAACAGTTGGATTAGAATATGAATGGTTAACAATGTATGTATAGAAAGAGGAGACCCTGATGCCCAGAGTTTATGATCCATGAAGGGCCACTCAATAAGTATCAGACAGAAATTCTCCCCTTTCTTCCAGTCAAAGGTACTTGGTGAAGAAGGTGAGGTTTTGGGTGCTCTTTTCAATCAAATAAAGGAGTAGGGAGGGTATTGGTGAAGGCACTGAGAGAGAAATCTCTTCCCACAACATTAAGGACAGGGCGTCTTCCAGGAAGTCATTATCTACAAGCCTTGTGGGAAGAGTCCCAGATATTGAGCACAGAAAGAGCAATTTGTTCTTACTCCCTCTTTCTACCCCCTCATCTTTATCTTCTAGCCCAAGATCATTTGGCTGAAGAACAAGATGGATATCCAAGGCAACCCCAAATACAGAGCCCTCAGTCACCTGGGGATCTGCTCCCTAGAAATCCGCAAGCCTGGTCCCTTTGACGGAGGCATTTATACCTGCAAGGCAGTGAACGCCCTCGGGGAGGCATCTGTGGACTGTCGGGTGGATGTGAAAAGTAAGGGCAAGAGAGGAACTGGTGCCCTACAGTGCCCGTCATCTCCCAATCCCCTGGTGGAAAAGTCAGCAGCCAGAGGCATAAGTTTAGATGGAGAAGGACTTCCCACTCCAGGTCCTCTCAACACGGTCACATTAGGATGCATTTGAGAAGACATTTTTAGTATCCACTGTCTCATTTCTCTCCATTCTATAATATAGGAAGAATTGTTTGTTTATTTCCCTGATTTACAAAGTAGAAACCCCAAACACAAGGAGGTAACTGGTTTATCCAGGATTTCCAATATTGGTTAGTTGAGGAGCTGACACTATAGAGGCATTAAGTTCAAGTTCCCATTGAGATCTTTTTTTCTTTAAGCTATACAATCTCCTGACCCAGTCCACAAAAACTACAGCTGATTATTTCTTCCCCCTCTGGTTTATTTAAAGGCAATATTGCACATCCTCTCTACTTCTTTAACGTATTCATTCATTTATCCATCCCTGTTACCTTGTTCAGCTCTTCATCACTACATTTAGCATATTATCTACTTATGGATTTGTTTCCTCCTTAAACTCTAAGTACCGAGGGCATGGACACTGTCTATATTCACCTTTGTTTCCCCAGTGTCTAGCCTAGTTTCTGACACTCAGTTGGCACTGTCAAAATGTTAATTGCTTGAATCAGGAATGAATAAGCCTTTATATGTCTTCCTCTTCCTTAATATATAGTCTCCCTAACTAGCAGAATGGACTCCCCAAAAAACAAAAATAGAATATCCCTTGGCGATGCTTTGAAAGGTTTCCCAGAGATTTCTGAGATTTTAACATTGAGAAATATGTGCACTCTTGCAGCTCCTAACTGAAGCTACCTAAAAGGACATTGTACATGAGAAAGGTAAGGGAAGACGGACAGGGTGCCTTGAAAGGTTATTTCATGTTATGCGGGTATTACTGGGTCTGGGGCAAATGTATATTCCTGAGCCTCTCAACCATGTACCCTCGGTGACCATTTTTTTAAACCAATACTGTTACCTCTGTAGAGGGAATTTTCCACAGACAAAGTCTATTTTCTCTGTATGTTGGTGAGAAAGGATCAAATTTGATGGTCCTCTGAAGAATGGTGAGAACATCTATCTAATCCTGAGAGGCTCTGTGAGAGGAACTGAGCAGGTACTATAAGAAAAGTTGTTAAGGGATAGGGTAAGGGTGAAAAAACAGGTGGGTTTGGTGGTACATGCTTGTGATTCCAGCAATTTGGGAGGCTAAGGCAGGAGAATCACACAGTTGAGGATAACCTCAGCAACTTAGCAAAGCCCTGTCTCAAAATAAAATTTTTTTAAAAGGAATGAGGATGTCACTCACTGGCAGAATACCCCTGGGCTCAATCCTCAGGATCAAAAAGAAAAAGAAAAAAAAATTTGGATGAGTAGGAACAGGAGGTTATTCTTGTCCATTAGGTGTTTCTACCTCAGTATCACAGGTAGAAGAAACAGATTAGTTTATTTATATGTAACTTTGAATGTCATGTATGCTTCCTGTATAAGAGAAGGAAATCACCATTTTCATTATATGCCAACAATAATTTAACATTTGGGCACATGGTTCCCAAGCAGCCCATTATTCACAAAGGACAACTGAGGTAGTTTAAAATTTGGTAGCTCCTTCAAATTCTAAATTCTAAATCCTTCACAATAGATATGTTGTATATAAATGGATGAGTTAGGTAAGAAAGAAGAGAGAATGAGCAAGAATGAGCTCCCAAGGTCCCCCTGAGTTGTAGCTCCTGACCAGGAAAACTGGTAACAATCTCAGTCCCCGAAGCTATTTACTTAAGCGCATCATTGATACATAGCAAATAAAAACCCTAAGGGCTGCATTAAAGCAGGGGATTCTCCTCAGGAGAGCTCTGCCTGCCAGCTGGTTTATGAACACAGTCTTCCCATCTCTCCGCCATCTGGGTTAATGCTGGGCTCGTTGGTGTGGGTATTTTTTACTCTTTTTCTCTCTTTCACAGCCAGAGCCCAGGGATGAAGCAAGGTAGGTAGTGAGTTCATCGGACAGGTCCCTGGGACCATGAAGAGAGGTGGCCTCAGCTTCCCAGGTGTGCGCTGGCTGTTTGCTGTGATGGCCACAACGTGCCCTTTCTTTTCAGAGCCTCCAGGAAGCCTGACTGTGACAAGATTGTATTCTAAAGGAGCTTTAGCACAAGGTCTGATTTGGAATAATCTAAATAAATGTATGGCTCTTCCATGCACCTGTTTGAGCCTTTCTATATGGGAAAAAAAAAATATTTAGAAAAATGGAATCCTTTAGCTAGACTGTCTCCTCTTTCTGTTCCATTCTTTCTTTTCCTCTTCTATATTCACATTCTCTTCCACGTAGGTTTCTGACACTGTCCTTTTCCCTAAGCAGTTCATGACAGAACTGAATTCAACTCAATATAGTAGAAGGTGCTAGAAAGAGGTAAAGATGACTTGCTCCCTTCTTCTGTTGGCTTTCCAATATAAGTTGGGATATCAGAATGCAAATCCATCACCAAGTGGCAAATAGCAGGATACAAGCATACATAATCAGGCCTGAGGGCTTCGATGTGAGCATCCCTTACTTATAGTTATATTCATTTTTATATCAAATTGTTATGGCAAGATTGCAATAAATCTTTGGGGTAAAAATTGGGAGTTCATAACCCACTTCAATCTAATGTATGAAATATGATATGTCAAGAGCTTTGGAATGTTGTGATGAACAACCAAAAAAAAAAAAAAAAATAACAAGAGATTTAAAAAAAAAAAGATTGCAATAAATCACCAAGTCCATCTCAAAGCAGGAGATGGAACTAGCTTCATGGGACGGGGGCAAATGGCAAGTTTGCACTTCTCGACGTCCTCCAGAGGTTAAAGGACACCGTTTATAGTTTAAAAGCACATGTAAAGCATATCAGTACATTAATCATAAATGGCCATTGCCATGTTTCAAAATCATAAACAAAAATTATGAGACCTCGCATCATAAGTAGAAGGAGAAGTGGATTAAAGAGACTGTGGTTGAGCACAAGTTAAAGAACAATTACTAACCTCTAGACAAACATTAACATTCTATGCAGTTAGGGTACATTGCACAAGTACAGTGTATAAGAATAGAAGGAATAATTTTGCCATTTTGCATTGTCAATATGCTATGCGAAGCAACTGTTGATGAGTATACAAACGGGATTTTCCCAAGAGAGAAGCATTTCTTAAATGACATGGAATCTCAAGGTAAAATGGAGTCTGTTTAGTCATTGCCCATATAGCCTGGCCCATAAAAAAATGAGATAAAGATATTCTGCAAAATATGAATCTGCAAAATATGGCAATAGTTTCTCCCATCCTCATATAGCCATCTTGCTCGTTCCACCAAGAGTTCCAATCTGTTTTCCCTCCCCTTGAATCCTATGGCTTGATTCGGAGAAAATAATGTAGCTGAGGTGACGAGGTGGGCAGTTCTTAGCCTGGGCCTTAAGAGGTCTAATAACTTTTGCTTTTGCTCTTGGAAGTCAGCTTCTGTGTAAAAAATTTCAAGCTAGATTATGATATGCCACATGGAAGATACTTGCATATCCCAGCTGACTGCCAGTACCACAATTGTAGAAACTTGTGGCCTCTGGACACTTCAGCCCTAGTCAAGCTCAATCAATACCTGCAGAGCCCTGCCCCAAGTGTAAAATCATGAGCAAATAAATGGTTGCTGTTGTTTTAGGTCACTAATTTTTGAAGTGGTTTGTTACTTAAAACAAATAACTGGGGCTGAGGATAAAGCTCAGTGATATAGAATGTTCACCTAGCATGTGTGAGGTCTTGGGTTCTATTTACAGTACTACAAAAGAAAAAAAAAAGAAATTGAAAGAAAGAAAGAAAAAACAAATAAACAGCTTTCCATGCTTATTCTAGCACTGAATTAAGTGCTTTATCTCCTTTAATCTTCATATTACAAATGAAGAAGTTGAAGTTTATAAACACCCACCCCCAAGTCACGCACATGGTAAGCAGCAGAGCTGGTTTGACTCCATGCCTTCCCTATTTCTTCTTATCTTCTTCACCCAGTGAGTCTAAGTTAGAATCATGGATTTAAGGGAAAAATTTTTTTTTCCCAGAGGCAATAAATATTAGGCAAGATTTTGAAGAGGAAAAAGGGGATGTGATTTGGCTAAAAAGCATGTGGAAGGGCCTTTCTGTTCAGACCCAAAGTCTGTTTTCAGTTGAGGCAAAATATCTAGTTCAGTTCTTTTCAACTGGAATTCCTCTAGAATTAAGCTGATGCCACAAGGTATCTATTGTCTGTCATAAATTAACTTCTTGCTATGCAACTAAGATGCTACTGCTTATGTTACTATCCTTGGGAAAATTGAGAAAATAGTCACATAAATCATTTATAAAGCCTAATTCACTATGGAACCCAAGAATGTGGGGATGGAGCAACCTGTGTGTGGTGCATGACTAAAATCCCAGAAAATCAGGAAGCTGAGAGAGGAGTATTGCAAATTTGAGGCTAGCCTTAGCAATTTAGTAAAACTTCGAGCAACTTAGCAAGACCCTGTCTCAAAATAAAAAGATAAAAAGGTCTGAGGATGTAGCTCAGTGGTAAGGTGCCCCTTGGTTCAATCCTTAGTACCAAGGGTGGGGGGGAATGTAGGGGTAAAGGCCAAAGTCCAGAGCCAGTCAGCCAGGTACACAATGGCAAAGATGCCTCCATCTAGCTGAAGCAGAGTGTAGGTCAGGAAGAAGTGAAACACCCCTCAGTTATAATGCCCTAAGGGTCCATCAGTGAGACCTCTGGCCTCTGCTATTTGCTGAATCACTTAAAGAGTCCTTCCTTAAAGTTCATACATCCCAAACCTTCTTGGTAAAGGAAAAATCTTCACACTGAACAAGATCTCCAGTTAATCCTTCTGCATTTAAGAAATACTGCCCTGGAATCCTTAACTTTCTCATTTATGCATTTGATGTTTATGGAGTTCCTTTTGAGCTGAGTTCTCCTATGTGCCTGGGAAGGAATGTAACTTTTTCACTAACTTATTATCTGTCCAAAATATTAATCAGCTGCTTATACACACAGTTTTAGGGTCCAAGAGAGGGGAACAAATATCAAATATTTTCCTTAATACTACATGAAGAATTCTTGTATCTGAAATCTGTACTTTCTGGCTTTGCTTTCATTTTGGTAGAGAAAAAGTAGTTTTACTGGGGTTTTGTTTATTTTGTTTTTGTTTTTCTTTATGAACTGCAACAGTTTTCAAGATCATAATTTGGAGACAGAAAATTGAGGGAGTTTCCTTAGGAGAAACTAACAATTTGCTAAAACTTAAATGTAGAGTCCCCTACTCAGGTTGCTTTGGGGAATAAAGAACATTGTTACTAACAGCTCTTTCTCCTCTAATCTTTGTTGCTACTTGCCTGGGAGATGAAGCTACTGACTCTGGCTTTTCCACCCCCATAGACTTTGAATCCTGGAAGCAACTTTAAAATGTCATCTCTGTCACAAGAAAGTAAGGAGCTGAAACTCCAAACTTCAGTTCTTATGTTTCAATGTAAGAAAATTCAAAGTCAGACACCAAAAGTTATATAAGATAACTTTATTATAAGCGAAAGTAAAGTAAAAGTAAAGTGAGGCTTAAGCAGAAAGCACTCTCAAGGGAGAGTAGGCTTTCTCCAAGCTGAGAGCAACATAAGAGATAAGGCTGTCCCCAAATTTATTGTTTTACAAGTTAACTTGAGAACTGGGGTCCTCCTGCAGCAATTTTCACCAACTGGGTATTCAAATCCTCCTTCATGATGGGTGGTGGAGTTTTTGCCCTTAGTGTGTTCCTCAGTTATGGTGGCCATCCTATTTAGAGGGGCTTCATCTACAAGTCAATCCTATGTTAATGTGGGCATTGGGGTCAATAGCTGATCAGAAGTTACCTTAGGGGCTGGGGATGTGGCTCAAGCGGATCCTCAGTACTACATACAAACAAAGATGTTGTGTCTGCCGAAAACTGAAAAATAAATATTAAAAAAAAAAAAAAGAAGTTACCATAGTGTACCTGGGGAAGGAGGGAATCTTCCTTCCCAGACAACTGAAGACACTTATAATCATAATTCCTATCTTCACATAAACCTCAGTAGATCCTGTCAAGAGTTAGTCCCATTAATCCCTCTCTCTTGAAGTGTTTTACAAATAGTTCCCTTACTTTGGGTTGTTTTCTACAGATTAACTGCCACCATTTGATTTCTTAAGATGGTTTAAAGAAGGACACTAAAGCAATTTAAAGAACACTTTAAACAAAAAAACAAAAAAGCAAAAACAATGGTTATAAACTCTAAGGACTCAGGCTCTTTGTTTACAGGAAAGCTCTGCAACCATGGTTAGGAGATTTTCACTTTTTAAATTTTTAGAACATTTCCAAGAAGTTCTGTTAACTTGTGGCCCAGCTTATTCACTTGCAACATTTAGCAAACATCCCCTAGTAAGTAAGCTAAAGCAGTTTATAAACACAGCTTTTAGTTCCGAGGTAGTTAATTACAAACACCCCCTCACAATCTGTGGGCACAACATATAAAACTTGATGCTGATAATTATCCTTCTAATTCTTCCTCATTTCTCAAGCGAACAGAGGCCCAAGAGGGCAAATATACTCAATCCTGCCCTGCTTGTAAAAGGAGTCATTGTTACATTTGAACCCAAATCTCCCTGGGTAAAAAGCCAGTTGTTTTCTGAAAACCTTGGCTACCTGAGGTTCCGATTGTTCTTGCTTAAAAAAAAATCAAGAGGGGGCTGGGATATAGCTCAGTGGTAGAGTGCTTGCCTCGCATGCACATGGCCCTGGGTTCAATCCACAGCTCCGAGGGGGTATGGGGGGAGAATCAGAGGGCCGGACGCCATGGTGCATGTCTAAAAACTTCAGTTACACTTGGTGACTGAGGCAGAAGGGGATCACAAGTTCGAGGCTAACCTAGGTAATTTAGATTCTGTCTCAAATTTAAAAAGGGCTAGAGATACAGCTCAGTGAAAGCGCCCCAGGGTTCAATCCAGTGTGGGAAGGAAGAGAGTTAGCAATGGAGGATGTACTTCTTTGAAAACCTCAATATACTTAAAATACTTAAAATATAAAATATACTTAAAAGTGCTTCCTTGGTGGCCATCCTATTTAGGTGGGGTTCATCTACAAATCAAAAAATCACATGAAATAAAATTCAGCTAACAAGGAGTTCGCACAATGCGCCCAAGGAAACGAATTCCCCTCCGCAGAGCAGTAGTTTTAGGGCCTATCGTGGCTCTCGGGAGCGGCCTCTGCGGAGAACCCCGCCCATAAACACTGGTCTTCTCGGCTCCGCGGGAGGAGGAGAGGGCGGAGAAGAGGGGATGGGCGGGGCGCAAAGCCCATTCTCATTGGCCCGTTCCCTCAAGCGCCGCCACGAGGTTCCGCCCCTGCCGGGCCCTCAGGCGCAGGGCTCCAGGTCTAGGAGCCAAGGAGGGACTCCAGGGTACGCGCGCGCACTCGCGGCCTCCGCTCGCAGCCCAGCTTCCCCCTCGCGGCGGGAGTCTTCCTGGGAACGCCTCTCCTACCCATCCCACCTTCGACCCCATCGGTAGGCTTTCGGTTGGCTGTCCGTCATAGCCCCGCCCCCTGAGGATCGCCAATCACCGTGCGCATGTGGCAGAAGTGGGTGGGTCCTGAGAAATTCGAAAGGAGCCCCGCCCTCTGGGAGCCGATTCCCGAGACAAGATTGTGGAAAGAAAGCTTCTGAGTGGAAGGTAAGGTAGGGACGGGAAGTGGAAACTGCGGGTGGGCGGGAGGTGTGGTTCCCGTGTGGTGCCGCGAGAGTGGAAGGGTGGCTTAGGAGAGGAAAAACCCGAAGGATAGTGGCGGGGTGGAAGGCGGGGCACGCAGACCTTCCCCAGTGAGTCCAAGGGCTTAGAGGGGTGGGAAGGCCATCTGTTGGGAGTGGGGGAGCTCTCTGCAACTTTCCGGTAGGTATCGCGGAGAGTTAAAGGGGCGTGTGCTACTGCAACATGTCTCCAGTCCCTGGCTTGCATCCCAAGAATAACTGGGAACCTGGGGCAGGGTGGATACCTGAAGGAAAAGTATATTTTCTCTCCAGTTCAGGTCTAAGCTCACTCGCTCCTGCTGATTGGACATGGAGGGTTTGGAGGAAGGTAAGGAAGCCCTGGAGGGACGAATGAGGCCTTGCTATGGAGAGCCGCCTCAAGCAGGGACCAGAAGGCTGGCATTCATTCTGCTTTCCCCTTCAGATGTCAAGTTTATTGTGGATGAGACCTTGGACTTTGGAGGTCTGTCCCCATCTGACAGGTACCAACTACTTTACCCCATTTATCTCCCTCCAACACCTCTTTGGCCTTACTGCTGAATTATTGGCCTCCAGAGCCAGGGTTGGTAATTTAGCAAAGTTTGAAGCACTGGGGCTGTTAGGACACTACTGGTAAGGGAAGGGAAAGGAGAAACAAGTGATTTTTCAGGGCCGTTAAGAAGTGTACGTGGATTTGTTGCATCTTCATCCTCCCAATGTCAGTAAATGCTAAAGGCCTATTTTTAGAGCTCAGAGAACCAAGTATCTCATCACCTAGAGGCCAGGTCTCACAGCCAGAATGGATGTTAGTTTGGAGTTTTGTTTGGCCTGTCTTGCACAGTCCCCTGCTCCTTTTTGTGTGGTCTTGGTGCCTTGTTTATTTTCTGTCTCAGTCGTGAGGAGGAAGATACAGCAGTATTGGTGACTCCAGAGAAACCACTCCGACGGGGCCTCTCCCACCGAAGTGACCCAAACGCAGTGGCCCCTGCACCCCAGGGTGTGAGGTTCAGCTTAGGCCCTCTTAGTCCAGAGAAGCTGGAAGAGATCCTCGATGAAGCCAACCGGCTGGCAGCTCAGTTGGAGCAGTGTGCCCTACAGGATCGGGAGAGCTCAGGTCAGGGCCCACGGCCTCTCCGAGGGAAGCCCAGCCCTCGACGGGAGACCTTTGTGCTGAAGGACAGCCCTGTCCGAGACCTGCTACCCAATGTCAGCTCTTTGGCTTGGAGTACACCCTCCCCAAGCAGCCTGACACCTCGGCTCCGGAGCAGTGATAAGAAGGGGTCAGCCAGGGCGCTTAGAGTGACACCTGGAAAGAGGCCCTCCAATGTGAAGAGGGTGAGTTTGGAGGGCTGAGTGGCATGTGCACCCCTAGACATAGTGCATGACATGTTGAAGGCACAACAGTTTCCTCATTGGTCAAGGAGAATAGTAATTCTGTCTCTAGAATTGGAATTGAATGAGATACATTGGAAAAGTGCTGTACTACAATGTAGAGGCTAATGATTATAATAAGCTCTCAATAAAAGTGGTGTTGATGGTAATGATGGTGTTGATGATGTTGGCAGCTAGCTTCTGCTTTTCCTCACTGGGATCTAGATAGCTCCCTGCCTCTCTAGTCTTTAATCCCTTTTGCCAGCAGAACCAATATGTTCTACATTCTAGCTCCCCTCCCCACCTTTTCCATGTCTCTCTCTCTCTTTCAGGAATCACCCACTTGCAATCTGTTGCCTGCATCCAAAAGCCCAGCATCATCTCCTCTTGTACAATCAACTCTTCCACTCCGGGGCAAGGCTGGGCCCAATGCAAGGGCAACAGCAAGTGAGACTGGGCAGCAAAGCTGTGGGTGATGGGGGTAAGGAGGAAGTAAAACTTACCTTGAAATGCTTCTACTCCTTTATAACAGGGCCACCTACCCATGTCAGACAAGCCTTGGCTCCACAGCCTTCAACCAGCAACTCTCAACGCCATTCTCGGCCACAGGGGACAGCTACTAAGGCTTCCAGTCGACTCCCTGTTCCTTCAGCTATCCCCAGGCCCTCTAGCCGAATGCCACTCACCAGCCGGAGTGTACCACCTGGCAAAGGTGCCCTCCCTCCGGATTCTGTGTCAACTCGGAAAGGGCCTCTAAGACCAAGCACTGCAGGGCACAAAGGTGAGAAAGAGTGAACATAAGGATACAAAATCAGAAGGAAGAAAACCTAACTTGGCTCAGGGTGACCTCATCCTCCCAGAGCTGGCAATGACTACTTTTGACATCTTCCATTTGAAGATGAGGAGACTGAGTTAAGCAGAGAATGTGGGGCCCAGTAGAGAGTCTCAGGCTTGGTTTCCAAGTACCTCATATTTTTTCCCTTGACAGAAGTGGGGGGAGGGGTGCACTCTGGCTTCATCCAATATTTCTTTTTTGAGAAGGTCAGTTGAACTTTCTGCTAACACATTTCTTTTGTTGACCCCTATCAAGTTCCTATTTCCCAGCGACCAAACCTTCCTGCTGCTAGTGCCACTCGCAGCAATCTGCAGCCTCCTAGGAAAATTGCAGTCCCTGGACCTACCAGGTAAGGCTGGTCCCTCTGCACCTATCACCTGGGCTTCCAAGCTACTGTGCACAGAAGTCCAGAATTCTATGTAGAGAAGGGGTGATCAGGAAGGGAGCCAGCAACAGGGAGTCCTATTTCTTCCCACCCTGAAGAGCTTGAACTTGATGGGTGACAGGTGAGCTAAAGGAGGATGGGCACTTTTAAAACAGTTCGTTCTTCTGTTTCTTCAGGTAAAAAAATCAAGACAACGAGCAAGAATTCAGTAGCAAACCACTACAGTCACTGCCTGGATTCATTTATAATAGCAGGCCCTGATTCCATCAGATTCTAGCCCAGGGACAGGAGAAAGACATGCCGCCAGGGTGATAACCCCCCAGGAATATAGACCATAGGAGATGGGGTGGATTTGAGTTTTACTGAAATAAATTCAAACTCTCTGGACTGAAAAAAAGATGAAGAGAAAAGAGGTGACCTCGTAGCAGTGAAATTAGCAAAAAAAAAAAAAATGAAGAATTCTGGCAAATTGCTTGTGCTCTCCACCCCCACTCTTGCAGTCAGCCCCAGAGAATTTGATCTTCTTCCCAGGCCTTGGTTCAGTGGATGAGTCCATGTGAATGGCCTCTGTAGCCAGCTTCTGCTCTCTGAGGATAGGTCTTCCTGAATCACATCCTCTACTGGACTCAGGCCTGTTTGGAGAGGCAAGGCAGGCATCTGGTCTCCAGAATTTGTTTCCTGTGAATTCTGTGATTCCACATAGGCTAGTTGATGATAAGCTTACTCTGTGTTTCTTTAAAATAAAATGAATGTATTTTTTTAAATTTCCTATATATCTGGAAGTAAATTCTGCTCCAATTCCTAATAAATTTGTTGTAAACCTCTGTGTAATTCTGTTGAGAAAGTGGAGATAGGCCTCCCAGGCAGGGGCCTAAGTAGGTCCTAGGGCCTTGAGCTTCTAGTTCATCCGGCAGTAACTTCCCCTCTTGTTGGCATTTGATGGGAACAAGCTGTCTTTCTGTAGATTCAGATATTATTAGAAGGTCCAGGTCAAAGATAAGTGTAGCTTAAATCACATGAGGCAGTTATGCTAGGATCTAGGTAAATTATTATTCATATCCTAAACTTGAATGTCCTTTTCTGTCAAGACAATGGAGCCTCCTTGTCTGCTGAACTTATGGGTTGAGAAGTTCCTTTGGTGACATTCAGCTTCCCTGATCCCCTCAGACAGAAGATGCTGGGACACCTTGTCGTATTGCACCTCACATCATTTGAGTTGTCTGTCCTCTCATCTCCCCTACTGGACTTGAGAGCTGGGATCAGAATTTATAAACTTCTGCAGTGCCCTAATAATGTGACTTGAATGTAACAGAGCATTTCATTCATTTATTTAGAAAATGTTTTGAATAAATGACAAGGTATACTGGGCTGGGGATGTGGCTCAAGCGGTAGTGCGTTTGCCTGGCATGCCCACGGCGCTGGGTTCAATCCTCAGCACCACATAAAAATAAAATAAAGAGGTTATGTCCACTGAAAACTAAAAAATAAATATTAAAATAAACAAATAAGGTATAAGATGGTAGTTATTGAATAAATGATAAGGACCCCCTAACAGCTTAGGGTCTCCCATTTTTTGTGGGCTTTGACTCTTTTTTTTTTTGTTAGTTGTAGAGGGACAGGATGCCTTTATTCTATTTTTATGTGGTGCTAAGGATGGAACCCAGTGCCTCACACATGCTAGACAAGGACTCTGCTACTGAATTACAGCCCCAGCCCCAAAGCCTTTGACTCTTGCAACCAGAACCAACTCAGTTCATTTTGAATTTTAAAGGAACTTCCTTCTTCAAAGGCAAGGTCAGGACTTAAGAAATGCAGCAGGCCACTGGGCAGAAGAAAATGGGACTGCCAACTGGTGTCCCTGCTTGTGCCTGTATGCCCGTAAGTGCCCTACTTAAACTTTAAGTGCTCCTCCTTGTCCCTGTTTTTTTCTCTTTTTGTGGCTGATCCTAAGGTTAATTTAACACATCCACCTACATCCCCATGACAGCTGCTTAGACACTAACTTTTCCCTGAGCTTGCAGCAGCTCCTAGAACCCCTGAAATTCCAAGAACCGATCTTGGGGGAGAGGCAAGGAGGCTGACATCAAGTTTTTTGTTCTGGAGAAATTCAGCATAAAGAAAAAAAATTCAGGTGTGTTTCCCCAGTTTCCTGCCTGCCTTGTGTCTAGGGAGCCGGTCCTGTTGGCACCTTCAGCAAGCCTAGGGACACGCACAGCCATGACCAGCAGGCGGCACCTTTGTGTGAGCCAAACCTTCCTTGGGTCATTAGAGGCAAAACAGGCAGCAGACCTGTGTGCTGTTGCCCCCTGGTGGGCTAGAGAGGAAACACATGTTCTGTTCACACCCTGGGTCAATCTTAATGTTTTGCACCCACCTCCAGTCCTTCCACTCCAACTAAGCAGCATTCAGTTGGCATACCTGCTGCAGCTGACTTTCTTGTTCAGCTAACTGCTTACTTCCTTCCCTTGGCCTGGCTTTCTGTCTTTCTGTCTGTGCATTCTCCTTCCACTTCCCTTTCCACCCCAGTAGCAACAAGAAAAGCCAGTGTTTATTGGCCCCTTGCTATGTACAGTGAACTGTTCTAAGCACTTTATATGTGCTAACTCATTTAATCCTCATAAAAGCTCAATTAGGTGGCTGCTGTTATCATCATCCTTGTTTTGCAGGCAGAAAAACTAAGGCTCAGAGAGATTAAGTCACTCAGTCTGGTTCCAGCGTTTGTGTTCCTAATTGCTACCCTATGGTGCCCCATGTTAATTCCCTTTCTAGTCTGTTGAATGAATCTTTGAAAAACACAAATGTGGGATTAGAGGTAATGTTGCAGAGCACATACTTAGGTCCAGTATGAGAAGTTGCTTCATTTTCCAATGGAAAAGGGCTCACAGTGATAGAGTCAGGACTTATCTAATCACTGAGCACTCTTAAATTCCTACCTGCCACTCATCTCGACTCTCCCTATTGAATTCTGCCCTAGAAAACTTGTCTCTGTTAGGCACTCAGTCCTGAACCTCGAAACCTGCCCTCTCTGTGCCACTTCTCCAGCCACTCAAGTCCCTCATGAAAAGGACATGCTTTCCCAACCGCTTCATCTTCCTTGGAACTGCCAGGACTCGGGCTCTGTACTAATGAGGAACATTGTTGAGGAGATCCATAGATGGGCATGTTTTTCAGAAGACTGGTATCAGAGGCCTGATTTCCTGCTGGGGTTTTCCAGGCCCTTTCTGATCTTTTGTTTTCCAAAGCCCAGGCGTCCATCCTCTTAAGAGGACAGGGGACCACATGGAAGCACATGACAACACACTACCTGCACAGAACTAGTTTATTCAGTGGTATGGGGAATGGAAAAAAACAACAACAACAAAACTCTACCATATTTACAGTAACAATCAAACTGTACAATCTGATGGTTAGTATCAAGTTAGCATCCAGCATCTTTGTATTTTTTTTTTCTTTTTTAAATCAAGTCATCAGTAGTAAAAACCAGTTAAATTTTTAACCCTTTGCAGGAATTGCTGAGGAAAAGGGCAGAGGGCAGGAGGAGAATACATGGCAGAAAAACCAGAGGCCAGCCTTCCAGGTGAAGAACAGGAACACCTTTTCCTGCCCACAGCCTCTTTTTCTAGCCACCTGCTCCAGAAGGAAAGTCAGTGACAAGTCTGAAATACATGCTTAAAGGGAGACTCAAAATGAATAGCGATTGGCGAAACTGAGGGGAAGAAATGGAGCGAGGGGAAGGGCATTAGGCCCCAAAGCCAGGGCTGCTGGGTACATACCCAACCTGCGATGGCCACATCAGACCCCCTGGGACCGGACAGAAACCCATCCCAACACAAAAAGCAAATAAATAAAAAAAATATATTAACTCTCTCTTCACAGGGAGCTGGGGTAGAATAAGGGACAAAGAGGAACAGGACCTGGTCCTTTGAAGAAGAGAGCCAATTCCAAGAAGGGGTTAAAAATAGAACATGTCTCAGAGGCCACAGCAGGTCAGACAAAGTGGCATTTGTCTGATTTGGGGAGAGTGGGTGGGTGGACACCAGAACCCAGACTTCATATCTGTGCTTGAGGCCCTTTGGGCAATTGAGCCAGCTCTGTGCTTCCTCCTCCTCCCAATCCCACCCACATGACAGCAAAGAAGCGCAACTTAACACACGACTGGCCTTCCCCAGGTGCGGGTCAAGGGTCAGGCAGGAAAAATGAAGCACTTTGGGGTCAGCAAACTGAGCAAACACCTGGGCTACAGCACGTGGCCAGAGTCCAGGAAAAGGAGAGGGGCTGGGGCAGCCGGCCCCCGCCTGGGGACGCAGGCTCCCCTTAAAACGTGTTCATGCAGCATTTGGGGGTCCAGGGGCGATGAGTCCTTCTGCCCCTGGCCGGACAGGGCTTTTTCAGTTCCTGGGAGAGGCAGCAATGGGCGGATAAGGAACGCCCTTTGCCCTGACCCCTCACCAGCTGAGGCCTGCCCGGTGCAGCCTGCAGGGTCTGACGCCCCAGGTGCGTGTGGCTTTGTCCTTTCCTTTTGGTGATGGCAAATGAGGGGCAGGCCCCCTAAGAGTCCCTCTCCTCCCAGAGGCACAGCAGATGGGAAACTGAGGAGAGGCTGGGAAGCATCCTGGGAGGTCCTATCCTCTTTGGGAAGGGAAAGGGGAGTCAGTTTCCAGCGTATAAAAAAAATTAATCCCTGAAGTCATGAAGAGTGGAGATCCTTTTTAAATTCTTTTTTCCTCTTTTCTGAAAAACTTTGTCTTGGAGATGTTGGCCCCAGGGGTCCAAAGTGCAGTGAGGGGAATGGTGGGGAAGGGAGTTGGCACTAGATGGCCTTAGGTGCAAGGCCCAGGCTCCTCAGATGGACGTTTCGTCGCTGCTGCGGGCAGGCGGTGGGGAGCAGGGGCAGGATAAAGCACAAGACAGGAGTGGGGGCATGAGTGCAGCTGGGGAGGGGAAGGGAGCCTCGGGACGAAGGAACCACCGGCCCAGGGTTAATGCAGGAAGTTAAAGAAGAGAAATCTGGAGAGGCAGGAAAGGAGAGTGGCAGAGAAGGCAGACAGAGGGTTAGCTGGAGCAGGAGACAGAAGTTTCACCAGAAGGAAGAAACAGAAAAGCAGCCCCAGCTCCCCTCCACCCTTGCGCTGCTGCCCTGGGCTGGGCTGCACCATATAAAGCCCCAGGGGGGACTGCCACCACCCCCGGGTCACCATGGGGCACTTAGGAAGCTGGGCCATGCTCAGCCCCTCCGTCCTCTGGCTGTCAACCAGCTAGCCTGGGGAGGTGCAGAGGCAGCTCTACCCCAGCTGGGACCTCTGCAGTGGCACCCTGTCCCACCCTCCTGGCCCACTCACTCGGAGCCTGAAGAGTCCTCATCCACCGTGCCTGCCTTGATGCTCATGGCGATGGGCATTACACCGTTCAGCTGTTCCTGGAGACTCTGCCGGGGAGGTGGGCGGGGAGGGAGCCCACCCCGGCTGCCTTCGCTGGCTGAAGAACCCCGAGAAGAGCCCGTGCCGTGCTCCAGGGGAAGCCTCAGGAGGCTGCTCTTCTCACTGATGGTGGGAAGACACTTCTTCTTGAGGATGCCTGGGAGCCAGGAAGGCAGCACGATGAGATGCAGGAGGGAGGAACAGGGGTGTCTCAGAAAGCCCCAGAATCAGAGGGTACTGTGAAGCGTAAGGCTGCTGACCCAGGCGAAATGGCAGCTGGGGATGCCCCGCTCACCTTTGTGAGGCTGGGCAGAAGAGCCCGGAAGGGAGCCCAAGGACACATCCCGAGACAGGGCATCTCCATTTTCCCGTGGCCGTTCCTCGGGGGCCCCACTGCCACTGCTCTCCTTTGCTGTGGTTCCAAAGTCTCCTGGCCAGGGGGCCTTCCCAGGCCCTGGGCCCCCATCTGGCAGGAAAAGGAAATAGATGAGGCCTAGAAAGAGCAGACAGCTAGGAGAGCCACCACCCGACTCCTGCTTCCCAAGAAGCCCAAGCTTCTTGGGCTCCCACAGCCTCCCAAAGGCCACAGCCCTGGTGCTGGCCCACCCTTGGGGGTGCTGTGCAGGGGCAGTCTCTCCGCTCCAGGCCCCAGCAGGCTGTCCCAGCCCTGCTCGCCAGGGAAGGCGGCCTCCTCCTCCTCCTCTTCCTCCTCCTCGCTGTCTGATGAGTGAGTAGAGGCATAGGAGCCACTCTGGTCATCTTCCAGGGACAGGTCACTGTCAGAGTCCGTGTCAGGATCTGGGAGGTCAGGGAGGGATCACAGCCGGCCCACCTATCTCAGCCCACCCTCAGCAAAAGCCAGGCCCCTGCCCCACTGGGCAGCCAGGGCCTTCCATCCTCACCGTGCTGTTGGTCTTGACCTTCCAGGAAGAGGCCTCCTGGGTCCCCCATGCCTGGGGGAACTTGACCAGGGTTCAGGGTGGATTCTTCCCTAAGAAGAAGACAAGATCATGCTGAGGGGTCAGCTTGGCCCCTTGCCCAGCATCCTCTACTCTTCTCCCTCCTGGGATTCCCAGTTCCTGCCTATGTCCCTTACTGCTTCTAAGTCAAGCTGTCATCTGTGTTGGCCACAGTGTGCACTACTCAACTCCTAGCAGCTGGCTGTCCTGGGTCCAGCACACACAGCCCGTCCCTCCACTCCTCAGCCTTCCCACCTCCAGGGCTCACCTCAGCAAGAAGGGGATGTAGCTGGGCTGGCTCTTGCCTGAGCGGCTGGCACTGTGCAGGGAGCCAGCTGAGTCTCCATAGGGCTGGTACAGTCGCCCGTCTGCATAGGGGCTGGGGCAGTTGTAGGACTAGACAGGGGAAAGACAGATAGGTCAGTAAGAAGGGGGGCAGGTGGGGTAGTGACCCCAGGCTAGGAAGTGGAAGGGTGCAGGGAATTGGCCCCAGGTTCTACCTCCCACAAACTGGGTCTCACAGAGGAAGGCACCAAATCTCGGCTGCCCTCATATTGGAGTCTGACCCTGGCTACAGCTTTGCCGTAGCTGTGCAGCCCTGCTCACCCCAAGTACCCTGGACTTGCTGTATAAGGGCTTGTTGGTAAAAGGTAGCCCTGGGAATTATCTCCCGAGATCATCCCAGGAGACAGGAAATTTGCCAGAATTCACGAGATTCTCAGGTGTCTTCACTCCCTCCCCCAAGTCAAAAATCCTGTGTCCCCACCCCCCCCACCTCCCAGCCCACGCATACTGCTTCACCTTCCCTTTCTCCTTCTACGAAGAGATAGAGACAAGGAAAAAGGATAGAGGGGCAAACAGTACAGAGAGCAGGCCCCTTGGGACTGCCTTTCCCTCCTTCCGTCAAGACCCCTCCACCTCTCTGGTCCCAGGCTCCCTCACCGAGGTCAGGGTGGACTTGGTGGTCAGAGCAGGGTCAGGGCTGGGTTTGCGGCTGCAGGCAAACTTGAGTGCTTTCCGGACCTCCTTGCTAAGCACCACGTAGGAGAGGAAGATGAAAGGGCCCTGGCAGACAGAGGTAGCAATAGTCTGGGCACATCCAAGCACCCTTCAACTGTGCTTCCTCCCCTCAATATGGGTTGGCCCAGGTACCTGGACACAATTGCAGGCGGCAAAGAGGTAGTGGAAGAGAAGGGTGTCACTGTTGACAGAGAGCAGTGCCAGCAGCCACGAGGCACTCAGCAGCAGGAGGACAGCAAAGGAAGGCTGCAGGCCAGAGCTAGGGAGCACGGCAGTGGGTGAGCCTGGCCGGGAGGCCTCCTCGCCAATCCCCACCCTGTGTCCACACACCCCCATACTCACACAGGGCCTTTCTTCTCGAAGCCCTGCCGCTGGGCAGCACAGGAGGCCCGGGCTGCCAGGATGTACAGGAAGACACTCATCTGGGTAGGACAGAGAGGGGTGAGGAGACCAGAGGAAGAGACAGCTTCTGGCCCTCCCTGTGGGGCCTGGGAGACTTGGCTCTTCCTAAAGGGGATTCAGAGAATGCACTTGGCCAGCTCCACCCCAACTCACTTAACAGCACTTACCGAGACTGCAAAGGCCACAGGACCAGCGAAACTCCAGATGAGCGTGTCATAGATGGAGAGCCAGCAGAAGTCAGGGTTTCCATATCCTTCAGGGTCCAAGCCCACAGCTAGGCCTGGAGCAAGCAGACAGAGCAGGGGAAGGTGGTCAGGGTATAGAAAGTCATCCTGGCTCACAGGGCCAAAAATGGAGTATGCAGAAGGATGCTGTCCACACTGCTCTCCAGGAAAGGAAGCCAGCCCCGGCACAGGGGCCTCAAGACTGGGTTAAATCAGAGGGAAAAGTTTGAATAAGTTATCCTGGGGTACAGGTTCTCAGGGCCTGGGCTGTGGGTTGGGGGATGGAGGCTTAGGGCTATGGAACCTCCAGGAGAGCGGACAGGAATACCTGTGATGAAGGCAGGCACGCCCCAGCCCAGCATGTAGTAGAAGCGCATGGGGCCGGCATTGACGTCACGGACCTCTGTGAGTGCCCGGTACAGGTGCAAGGCCTCCAGCAGAGCCCAGGAAAAGGTGCAGAGGTACAGGAAGTGCAGCAGGATGGCAATGACTGTGCAAGCAAACTGAGGGCCAGGCCACCAGGTCAGTGACTAGGGCATAGCCAGTGCAGGGGTTCTGCCCAGGTCATGCAGCCAGGAGGGCTTGGTGTTGGGGCCTGCTTCAGGGGAAACCATGGGCCAGAGACAGGAACCTCGGGGATGCGGGGCATTCAGGAGGAACTAGAAAAGAGGAAACCATGGGCCAGAAACTGGGCTAGGCTGCAGAGTCAATGCTGCAGTGGGAGGGATCACCAGGGAGCCCGAGAGGACTGGAAGTTGTGGAAGTCTGTCTAAAGGGGAGGAGGGGCATCTTACAGGCAGGTCAGCCTGGTTGATTCCCAGGAGGAAGACCAGCTGAGCCAGGCCCAGGGCGGCTGTCAGGTTGCGTCGGATGCCATGCTGATTGGAGCGCAGGGCGCGAAGAAGGGTGAGGAAGAGGAAGGTGAGCAGCAGGGCAGCCAAGGTGACCCCTAGGGCCACATATGTCAGTGTCTTCAGGGGCAGGATCTCTCCATTCTGCAAGGCAGGAGGCAGGAGGCCAAGGCATTGAGGGAGGGCAGGGCCTGCACACCCAGCCCAGTATCTGGGCTCCCACCCCCAGCTCCACAGCTGCCAGTCATGGGTCCAACCTCCCGCCGGGACACGTCCATGAGCACAGCGAAGCTCGTCATGTGGTTGCACTGGCAGCTGACATGGCTCTCGTTGCGGAAGACAACCTCACAGCCTCGGGCTGACCAGCCACCCGTGCCACTGACCCTGTGTGAAAAAGGCCAGGTCAAGTCAAGAAAGGTGGGGACCTGGGGACCTGGGCTCTCAGCGTAAGGCCTTGGGGGTAGTGGCGGGGAGGCTCACAGGATAGAGTGGTTCCAGAAGACACAGATGGGCTTGGTCCGCTCCTCGGTCTCCAGCAGCCGGAACTGCACAGTGACTGGCTTGTCCAGGGCTCGAGGCAGGAGCTCCTCATCATCATGGACGCTGATGCTCACCACAGGGGTGTTGATGACTGGACGCTTGGGGACTCTGACACGGAGCAAACAGATGCACACTCACCCCAGCAGCCTTGTGACTGAGAGAGAGCCTCATCACCAGAAGATGTCCCACCCTTGGCCCCCTCAATGCCTCAGCTCTTACCTGCCTGTCCCCCACCCCCACCCGCCCTGTCCCCAGCTGCTCACCTCAGACTGCGCTTGTCTGGGTCGTAGTTGTGGGGCAGTAGCCCAGCCAGGGTGCGGTAGATGATGACGCTGGCCACAGCCTCTCCCTGGCTCAGCTCCGGGTGCCGCCGCTGCCGCCGTGCCAGCTCCTCAGGTTCCTGGGCCTCCCCAGGGCCAGCAGGCCTGACCACAGGGGTCATCTCTGGGAGCAGAACAGTGATACACTCAGCGGGGCCCTGAGCTGTGTGTAATCTGCATGGATGGCCTCGGCCCACCCTTGACACACACACGCGGCCCCCACTGACCTCTGAAGACAGACTCGGGTAGAATGACTGTCGTCTCTAGGTCTGGGGGCCGCTCTCCTCGCAGTGCTTCATAGCGGGGCAGCTTGGCCCCAGCAAAGTTCCCCTTGTCCAAGCGCACTACAGAGATGACTAGGGAGGGGAATGGTGACAGGTTGGACCCTGAGTCAGGCAGGCAAGCCCCCAGCATGGCTGCCCTCGAGGGAACTCTCTCCACAAACCCCCTCCTACCCCAGGCACCGGCCTCACCAATGTTGGGCGTGACAATGGTGAAGGGGCTTAGATAGGTGTGCCGCATGTTCTGGGCCAGGGCGCTGGCGTAGGCCTCGTAGTGCTGGAGCAGCCAGGCGGTGCCGCCCTCCGTCTGCTGTATCAGTTCCCAGTGCCGCTTGTTGGCTGCATCCAGAAGGGCGCTGCCCACTCGCAGCAGATTCTGGGGGTGGGCATGGTCATGGTGGCACGTGCTCACAGCCTACACCTGTCATCCTCACCACCAAGCCACTGCCTGGTGGCTAGAAGAGCCCTGTTCCCCACCCACTGTGCCCTCCCTAAGCGCTCCCCTCTGCCCCCACTCGGTTGCACTGCCTACTCTGGTCACCAGATGCTCCACCTCTGACTCTTCCTTCTCGCTGTCTAAATAGGAGCTCCCCAGCCCCTGCACCTCACTCTCCTGCATGCCCTGCCTGCCTCCCTGGAAGTGAGATACTGATTGCTCTCAGCTCTGGATGTGCATACCTCAGTGTGAGCAGTGTTCTCTGTGGCACCTGGATCTGATACAGCTTAGGAAGAGCTGCTCAGAATGTCCCACATGCTATACCAAGGCTTGGGCTCTCACTGAAGCCTCATGCCAGGAGGGAGCTCCCAAAGGTCAGGCAGGGAGGATCCCACCCCTCTGGCCCTGACATGGCCAGGAGCAGGCTCACTCACCATGACCCCCACCCAACGAGCCATCCCTACCTCTTCCAAGCCCCACCTCAGTGAAGTGCACATCCTGTGTGGCAGACAGCCCAAAGCCTCTCTGGGCACTCTCGTGAGCCAGCAGCCGTGTGGCCAGCTGGTAGGCCACTTTGACATCACTGCCAAAGTAGCCAGCGGTGTGCTGTGTAGCATTGCGCAGGAGCAGGGCCAGCCGCTGGGAGCGTCCTGAGTCCAGGCCTGATTCGTTCCGCTGCAGCCGCTCAGCCTGAATGGGAGCAGGTAGAGAGGCAGGGGGTCAATTTGGACTCTATAGAGTAAATGCGCCTCAGAGAGGGGGAAAATAGACTCTTCAGGTGGGGACCCCAGAAACAGAGGGACTAGGTTAGAAATCTCTTTCTCAAAGATGGGGGGGGTGGAGAAAAAAAGGAGGGAAAGGAGTTGGAGATGAGGGTGTCCACTTACGAGACCCTTCAACTCTGAGAAGGTGACTGACGTGCAGTTGAAGAGGTTTGGGGGCAGCCAGCCCCTGTGTTCATCACAGTGGCGCACAGCGGTCCCTGGGGGGGAAGAAGTCAAGAGGGCTGACCACAGGGAGACACAGAAGAAGCCCCTGACACCTGGCTGAGAAGTTCAGCTGGGGGGCCAGAGACAGAACGCAAACCAACTAGGGTCCTGCCCCCTGCAGCCCGGGTGGAAACAGGAAGACAGGTATAGGACATTAGAACCAAAATCTCTGCTGCAAGATCTGTCCAAGCAAGGGCTGTGGGAGCATGAGGCACATGGCCTCCTCAAACCCCAGCCATCACTGCTTCTCTCCAGCCATCACCTTACTCTCTGTCATTTTCTGCCTATGAATTCTGCTCATCACCAATCCAAGGGCCAGTGCCAGCCTCTATCCCTGGGCTGAGTTCCTGGAACAGCGCCCAACATTCCGAACTCTCAGACTGTCTGTCCTTCATGTGACACAGCTTCGGCACTAGACGGTGAGCTAAGGCTGGGAACTCTGTGAATCATCTTTGAATCTCTAGCACCCAGCACTGTGCCAAGGAGAACGAAGGCGTCTCGGTCCTTCTGTTCAGAGTCTAAGATGCAGTACTCCTAGGCAACCCTGGGAGAAGGGAGACAGTGAGCCAAGGAAAATGGGACATGGAGTCTCCAGGATCTGCAGGCCACAAAGTGGGGACCTAGGATCTTCAGCCAGGGGCTTCCTGATCTCCCCCCAGGGATGGTAGAGGCTAAGTCCTCAGTATCATATCTTGGGCCTCTAGCACCTACCAAAGGAGCCTTTAGGGCATGGGGCAGCAGCGGGCAGCCCAAAACGGGTGCGGGGCCACCAGATCCCAGCCTCGATAGCCCGTGGGCAGCTGTCATAATTCACTGCAGGGAAGAAAAGATAGTCACTAGGAGCAGCTCTCCCTTTGCAGCTCACCCATCCATCCCTCAGCATCTCCAGACCTGCAGCCAGCCCCACTCCTGTCCTCCCTAGGATGCAACCACCTGGCACAGAGGGTAGAGCTGCCCACCTGCCCCAAGAGCCCACCTTCACAGCCATTTGTAGTGACTTCAGCAAAAGGGTTGTCACAGCGATCACACTGGCGCCCGATGACACCAGGTTTGCATGGACACTGGCCGTCCTCAGGGTCACAGACTCGAGACAAAGAGCCCGTGGGGTAGCAGTCACACAGGAGGCAGGTGGGGCTGCCAGGAGGCCGGTAGTGATTCTCCTAGAAGGGAGGAAGGAAGAGGGAGGAGGGAAGAAGGGGGTGATGGCTCAGGCTCTTTCGTGGATGCACATAAACCTTTCAGTTGTGGCCCTCTGGAGGGAGACTCCGTGACCTCAGGTTTAAATATCCAAAATATTTAACCACTGGTCATGATTTGAAGTTGGACCCATATGCCAAGTAATCAGAAGAGCACAGCTGGCCCCAGGCTTATTGGAGAAATATTGGTCCTGGATCCCCCTGTGCCCCAGATGCCTGAGGACACATAGTCACTTGCCCTGGCTGTGACAGAAAAAGCCCTGATGGGCCTCAGCTCTCTATAGGAAAGTCCATCTGTACTGCCTCCCCGCCGGGGCCCAGGAGGTATAGAACAGACGCTAAGGCAGCCGCAGTGGAGGCTTGGTTGAGGCTGTCACCTTGCAGTGGCACTCGCCGCTTGTCTTGTTGCAGTCTGGGTCAAAGCCTTTGCTGACGTCACAGTTGCATGGGCCACATGTGGGGTGTCCCCACCAGCCACGGGGGCAAGGCTGGTCGATCCTGCAGAGAGGAGCCCAGGCAATTGTGAGGTCTCTTTGCAGCTCAGCCAGGCTTCTGGGGCTCTGAGGGACACACCATTGACAGGTAGCAGCCACAGAGAGTTGTTGTTGCATGCCTGACCCACTTACCTGGTCTCACAGTATGGCCCAAGGTAATTTGGGGGACATTCACAGGTGTAGCCATGGGGAGCACTAGGTTTGCGGGTACACACAGACTGGTGCTCACAAGGGTTCAGGTCACACACATTAGTACAGTTGTCACCATAGTAACCTGGGACAAGAAAGACCAGAAAGGTTCAATCCCTCCCCTTCCCTAGCACTATCATCTGTCCAACTCACTTTCAGCCACTTCCTTCTACTCTGAGCATCATACCAGCTGGCTATGGCTATGGAGTGTAGGCAATAAAGGCTCAGAGAGGTGATGTGAATGGTCCCAGGTCACACAGGAAAGCCAGTGAGACTCCAGGCACCTGCCAATCTGCCCCATTTCCTGGGATCCCTCACATACCTGGATCACAGCTGCAGGAATAGCTATCCCAGTCATTGCTGCAGTAGCTGTTAGCAGGACACGGGTTGGAGTCACAGGGGTCTGGCAAGCTACATCCTGGTTCCACGTTGATGCTCTCCCCACGGCTGGGATCAAGACTGCTGGCACCCTCGGGCATCTCACTTACCCGCACACCCTGGGGGGAAGAGGCAGAGGTCATTTGACCCTCCGTGGAGCGGGGCTCTGTGTGGCCATGGGGGTGAGAGGGCAGGGGATGAGGCTCACCTGCAAACAGCCCCGGAAGCCTCGGGCCACACCACTGGCAGGCCCAGGGACTCCCCCGACTGTAATGTTGCTCAGGTGCAGCCCATGAAGGCGGGGGCCCAGGTTTCCCTCTGCCCTCTGTTGCCCGTAGTCGAAGGACAGGATGGCATGGCCAGGGCCCCCGCTGGCTCCCAGTGACAGCTGTGTGTGGTGCCAGTCACCATCATTGGCCCGACCTGGCTCCAGACGGAGGGACGAGGCCTGAAGCCCTGTGCCCTCCACACTCAACACCACGTGGCCCTCTCGAAGCTGGCACAGGAAGACAGAAAGCAGGGTCAGCACACAGACTTAACTGGCTCTCCTAGTGGTCCACTGTTCCCCGTCCTGCTGCCCCGCTGTGGCCACAGCAAAAGAAAGAGCATCTATTTCCCTCAAGCCCCATAGATGGCAGCACTGGCCCACAAACTGACACACTATCTCTTCATTTGCCCAAAGAGAAGACCTTGCTCAGTCATCTCTATGCAGTCCCCTCGGAGGCCTGGGCCCGCCCTCCTTCTCCCATAGCGCCCACGGTCACCTGTAGAGTAATGGTGCTGCGTCCCCTGGTGACAGCCTGTAGCAGGACGCCATTGGCCTGGCGTGTGCGGAACATGAGACTGAGGTGCCAAGGCTGAGAGATGGGCAGTGAGAGGCCGTGCCAGGCCACAAGGCTGTTGCCCAGGAAGAGCTGGGGATTGGCCATTTCTGGGAAGGAGGAGGAAGGTAGACTCTGAAAGGTGGGACAGTGGAGTGCCGCAGGGGGTATGATGCTCGGAGGTGATGGCTCCAGGAGAGGCAGGGCACTGGTGCCCACTCCCTAGTCAGCCCCGCCCTCCAGAACAGGTACCTGCCTTGGGCCCGCCCCAGGCTGTGCCCAGGCCTGCCTCTGACTGGGCTCTTTGTCTCCTATGCTACCCTCTCAGGGCTCTGCCCAAACATGCTCTTCCACCCACAGCCAAGCTCGCTGCGCCCTTCCCGGTGCCTGCTCCGACCCTGCCAGTGATCCCAGACTGCTGACGGCACGCAGCCCCGGCCTCTGATGGCTGCTCCTCTCCTACCCTGGGCACAGCTCTTGCCCCCGAAGCCCAGGGGACACTCGCAGCTGAACGCATCCCACTGGTTCACGCAGGTGCCCCCATTGTGGCAAGTGTTGCTGTCACACACGTTCTTCTTGGTGGGGCATCCTGGAATGGAGAGAAGGGGACTCAGCAACCCCAGACTGGGGCTCCAATGAAAAAAAACCTGTGGCAACATCTGGAGGGGCCTTTAAAACCTATAGAAGCTGATTCCCCCACGCCAGACACGGCCCCTCCTCCCTGCACTGGGCTCCCAGCCTAGCTCACGCCCCCAGACCCCCATACCAGGCACAGTGCCATTGTTGGCAATGAAGTCGGCCATGTCTACGTGCCGGCTGTCCACTTGCAAGTTCTTCATGCAGCCCACAAAGTGCCGCATTCGGACAGGGAAGCTCTCAGGCAGGTCGGGCACCCCACCCAGCAGCAGGGGCCCTGTCAGATCCAGAGACCTAGGGGAACAAAATGGTGGTGACATGAAGGCGGGTTGGAGCTTCTGGCTCTTCTCTTTCCCTGTGCCCTGTCACCAGGCCAGAGAGGAAGGCCTTGGGCAGGAGGCCAGGGGAAGGAGCCATTCCAACCTGGAGCGAGCTTGCTCATAGGACCCCTTCCCACACAGCCCCAGAAGGGCTTGCTCTAATTCCCCATATTGATACCAGCTCTCACGGGCTGAGCAAGGGCTAAGGGATGCAAGGCAAGGGGGTGCCACATCAGGCTTGGTTCCTACACTGGAGTCCCATAAAAGCCCATCTCTTGACCTGCACTCCCAGCCCATCCTGCACCTCGCCCTCAACACATCCCCTGGCCCTTTCCCCTGCTTACTTCTTGCTGCCACCCTGGGTGCCCTGAGCAGCACAGGAGTAGTTGCCCAGTATAGCTCCGAAGCGCAGAGCCACTCCTGTATCACAGCCATCCACAGACACCACAGCCACCTTCTGTTCAGATGGGCCTTGCGGGAGCCCCGTCTGGCCCAACAGTGGCTGTAGACAGGGAAGGACAGAGAAAGGAAGCAGTGGGCAAGGAGCCCATTAGGATCATAGGCCAGGCACAAAGACACACGGGCACACTTTCACACATCTGTGTGAACCTACACACACACATACACACACACACACACACACACACACACACACAGCACTGCCCAGTGGAATGGGAACATCCTAGCAAGGTGGCATGTTCCCACCCTCTCCCTCCCTCTTAGACAAAAGCACCATACCAGCCCCACCCACTGTAGGCAGTGCCACCCAGATCTAGATGGGCACATGAGCCAAGAACAGAGCCCTTCAACTCCTCTCTCCCCATCCCACACCCACCTTATTATAGTACTTCAGCTGCACCGTGTGCCACTGGCCATCACTGACCCCTCCAGGTACAAATGGTGACACGGTGGTGGTCGACTCTCCTGGGGAAAGGACCAGGTAAGCTGGGACACCACAAGAGAGCTAGGAATGGCAGGGGTGGGGTGTGCCCAGGATTGGGGCTGGGCCTGTGAGACATGGGGCCTTAGGGAGATGGGCAAGGACATGGGGCAATGAGGATCACCTGCAGAGAAGGTGAGTTGAACCTGCTCCTGAATCACCTCAAGGGCCACAAAGTCATGCTTCTCATTGAAGCGCCCATTGTACAACAGCAGCCCGTTGCGCTCCTTAGTGGCAAACCTGTGCAGGATTTGGGGACAGGGGCAGGGAATGGGGCATCCACCTGGATGCCAGCACCTCAACCACCTAACTAGCATATGATCCCACCCAGTACTCTCCAGAGGGTCGACGCCTGGCCAAGACTGTGAGCCATGGGGCCACAATGTGGAAGGTGAGCCCAAACAAGACCCCTGGCTCCTCACCCTGGAGAGTGACAGGCACTGGAAAGCCTGCTGGCAAGGTGTACAGGCAACTGCCAGTGAAGGCGGCCTCTGCCAGCAACCTGCTCTAAGCACTCCTGCTGCCTGACTTTCATTTCATCCACAGGACAGGAGGTTCTCCAGACTCACACTGCACCCCAATGTCCCCATGGCCCAGCCACTCACGAGAGGGCCAGGGTGAAGTGGAAGCGCTGGCGCAGGCCACGGAAGGTGATAAAGGAGCGGGCAGGGAAGCTGCGCGTGGTCACCCGGCAGTAGGGCTTCTCGAAGTCCCCAGATGGGCAGTCACACTTGAAACCGCCCACTAGCAGGTTGACACAGGTACCCCCATTCTTGCAGACACCTGGGGTGCAACGGCCTGAGCGGGCACTCACCTCACAGTGCTCACCTGGGCAAGAGGAAGGGCAGGGTGAGTACCAAGTCCCTGAGGATGGGGAGGGAATCTGGGCTTCTTCCCCCCACTAATATTTCCCACAACCTTCCACAGCCCCTCACAATACTCCCAAACTCTCCTGCACATGCCCACTTCCTCTCCTGCACCCATCTTCCCTGAGATCTATGATACCCCAGCCCTTCCTGACTGCTGCTTGGCCCACCATGCCCTTCCCACCACAGCTCCAAGCACAGCTCCCCTGCAAGTTCCCTGAAACTCCCAGTCCCTTCCCCACTCCTGCTGGGTTTCACTGGCACAGGCCACTAGGCCCCTGGTCCTTAGGCCAAGATCCTAGCAGCCTTTGGTGTCATCTGTGGGGCAAGCTTGGGGATACTCGGGCCCCTGCAGGGGTACATGTGCAATGAGGGGAAGAACCTGAAGGACAACATGAGGGCTGTGTCCCCTCACTTTCTCCCTTCCTCCCACTGGTGCTTTTGTCCCTGTCAGGCACTGAGATCAGTTTCTTTCCCTGGGGATGGGACTAGGCTTCTGCTTGGATTTGTTTGAGTTATGGGGTGGGGCAGGTCGGGGAGGGAAGCTGGGTACTTCCCGGGGAACAGAGAAGATAATTACCACCCTGAGCCCTGGGGTCCAGACTAAGGACCCCTGTGCACTCGCAACACCAAGTGTAGGGGCCTGAGCCATGGGAAAGATCAGGATTCAGTGGAGGAACTGAAAATTCCAACATCAGATGGGAAAATCCACCCTTCTCTCCCTCCCCATTCCCAGATTCTAGAGATAGGTTCTCAGCTCCTGTGCCTAGTGACTGGCTCTTGTTTCCATGGAAACTGTTGTTCCCTAGTCTAAGCACCCCCCTCCCCATCCTCCTGGACAAAGACTCCCCTCCCCTCCTCTGAGCACTCCCCTCCCCTCCCCCCACCCCTAGCAGTAACAGAGTCAAGTCTGGCAAGTTCTGAGCAAGAGGATGCAGCAGGGAAGGCAGGAGGCAGAGCCAGTAGGCATGGCTTGGAGGATGGGAGGAGGCCTGGGCATCTGAAAAGGAAGGGGAGCAAGGTGCATCCTAAGAAGAATCAGGAGCCTGTGAGGAGGGGTCAGGGACACAGAGCAGAGGCAGTGAGCAGCCTGGGGAGAGGCCAGAGGAGGATGTGGTAAAGACCTCAGTTCACAGTCCCACAGGGAGACAACAGTGGAGCCATTGTGCCCAGGCCACATAGGTGCAATGTCCTTCTAGAACACCCCTCACTCCAAACCCATCCAGCTTCTCAGCTCCTCCCGACCTGCCGCTCCAGGAGTGGCCCGGTAGGAAAGTGCTTGCTATACAGCTCAGGAAGGCAACTCACTCAGCAGAGGGGGAGACGGGAGGGTAGGCCAGTCTCATCTCTAACTGAGCTGTACCTGGAGCAAGTCACCCCTTCTCAGTCAACACTACCCACAAGACAGTTCTTTTCTGTATGTCAAATTAATTGAATTAATCCTCACGACCAACTTTTGACCTAAGTAGATTTTTTTTTTTTTATCTCCATTCTAAATTACTGAAGCCCAGAGAAGTAAGTAACTTGCCCATAGTCACACAGCTATGAGCGGCAAAGCTGGAATACAAAGCCAAGAGCAACGCTGACCTGTCTTTACATGTGTGGGAATGGGTGTGCATGCGTGGGTGTGAGTGTGTGCATGCACAGTGAGAGAAGGGCTCCTCAGTCTGTCTTCCACAAGAGGCTGTTGTGTGCGATTTATGAATGCCTAGTGTTACTGTACCTTACTCCTGAAAGGAATGAGACAGGCCCCCATCATTAGCCTGATTTGTGCTTGCAACTTGGCGTCAGCCCTTCAGGGCCACCCCCACGGGTCCCTCCCTTGGCTCACCCGTGTAGCCCTCACGGCAGAGGCAGGTGTAGCCTCCCTCACGGCTGCGGCAACGCCCGTGGGGACCGCAGGGGCGCGAGTAGCAGAGGTCCACCTCCGTCTCACAGTAGTCTCCGGTGAAGCCTGGTGGGCAACGGCAGCGCAGGCCCCCGACCGGGTGGATGGGCCGAAAGAGCACGGAGGAGGAGGCGATGAAGGGCGCCGAGGAGTCGAAGCGCAGGACCGACACGCAGCGCATGTAGTTCTCACAGGGCTCGCGCAGGCAGATGTTGTCGTCGAAGGGCAGCACGCGCTGCGCCGAGATGGCCGTCAGCAGGCTGCGATTGAGGTACAGGCGCTCCTGCAGGTCTTCGGAGGGCAGAAAGGGCGGCCCACCCCCGGGTCCCGGTGGCTGGCCCACTGACAGGCTCACGTTGAGGATGTGGCCACCGGGGGCGTCGGTGTCCCGCTGCACGTTGAAGACCACCACGTGGTCCGGGGGCGTGGCCAACGTGGCGGCCACCGCTTGAATGAAGAGGCCCAGCAGTGGTGACAGGAAGCGCTCGGGCGACATGTCTTCCAGGCGCAACGTGATACTGTGTGTGAGCATCTCATCTGTGATAATGGTGACGCGCAGTGCACACTGGGCTGTCACGCTGTGAACGCCATCTGTAAAAGGCCACACGGGTCAGCACCCAGGCTTGGAATCGGGTTGGGGAGGGCAGAGGTGCCCAGCCCAGACTAACCCCCTGGCCCTGGGCAGTAGAGTTGGGTAGGCCCTGTGCAGTAAGTAGCAACAGGAGGTGGGAGCAAAGGGGATGAGAATCCGGCTTGCACGTTCTGGGGCCAAGAAGAGGCCTCCTTTTCTAAGGGCCATAAAGGTGCCCAGTGAACGCTTGTGGGTAGACACTTCTTGAGAGATAAGCTCCCATAGGTACTTAAGGAGATGAGACTTTCAGAAGGCCTCTTTGCATATTTTCGCAATATCTGCTATTGTGAGGCATGGCACACCTTTTTTTTTTTTTTTGTGGGGGTGTGTGCTGAGGATTGAACCCAAAGATGCTTTACCACTGAGCTACATCCTCAATTCTTTTTAATTTTTATTTTGAGATAAATAGAATCTTGCTAAATTGCCCACCTTGAACTTTGCAATCCTCCTATGTTGACCTCCTATGTGTGTACCACTGTGACATGGCACACCTTTTATGTTTGTACATCAGTCCCTGATGGAGCCATGAGTCCTCCTCCCTTATATCAACTCTGGGCTTCCTTGCACAGGAACTTTGTCTTTTGCTTACTTCTGTACAGGATCCAGAATATTATGACACCCACAAAAACCATCTCCTCTTGTCCTCATCCTGTACATCTCAACATTACCATACCCCTGGCCCTGGCTGTGCTCCCCGCTCTCCCACTGAAGCAGGTAGGGAGTGGGAGGTGAACTGGGTCAGTGGGCCACCAGGTCCCCCTCCCACTGAGCCCCATGGCTGCTTGGGCACAAGCCCGCTATTCCCATGGCAACACCCCACACAAAGCATTCTTCCCGCCCAGTTCTCTGAGCTGCTTGCGGGTAGCCTGGGGATCCCACCCCAGGAAATCCAGCTGAGCCACCTTAACTGGTGACAGCACCACCCACTGCTTTTTGCTGGAGACAGGATGAATGAGGGTGGGGATCTGGACAGAGATGGAAAAGCCTGGGCAGCTTCCACCTGGAGACTCTAAAGTCCCATTAGGCTGGTCTTTCCTCTGGCTCTGGGGCCTCTAACTACCCTTCACCAACTTGGATCACCATATTGCACCCAAACACCTGCCTGCCATTTCCCCAAGGTGACACACTCACTTATAAACAGCTAAGTACTAACACTCATTGGTATATCACTCTACCCACACCTGAAGCCCAGAAATACCATACGCACCTGAATGTGCACATACATGGGAATGGATTTTATTTTGCTCAAAAATGAAAGATGGGGTCATGGGGAAGGAGAAATGGTTTGGCAGGGCTATAAGGGCTATTCAGATTTTTGTTTAGTGTAATGCCTTACACGTGTAGGTGTTCAGTAAACACTAAGATGCTGATGAGAATCTATTCAGTCTCTACAGTGAAGAAAGTTCTTCAAAACACGACAGGAGAGGCTCAACTAGATATGGAAAAGGATGCCCAAGCAGGAATGAGGCGGGAGCCAGTGTTTCTGGGTGGGATGGGAGTAGGAGAGGGATATGGGAATAGATTCTGTGTCTATGTCACACCTCCTGGAGGTGACTGATTACCCTGGCAGCTCAGTTGAGCTGGGGCAGGCTGAAGGCAGACACCCATCTCATTGTGTCCTCAGCCATTACCTACCTGCCCTCCAGCCTCATTGCCATGGTCCACCTGCTCTCACTATCAAGTCTGCTGTCATCATTTGCTGCTGCTCTTCCAGAAGCTACTCCCCAGGTTTCCCTTCCTACCTAGTCTATCCAGACATCAGTCCTGAGTCCTCAAGTCTTCCAGCCTGCCCTGAGAGATCACCTGCTCCAGGAAGCCTGCCCCTACTTATGATCAAGCTCCACTTGCCTCCCTCTTTCAGATTCCCCTGTCCTAAAACTGGTACCGGGCTCTGATGCACCTGCCCAGTGGTTCCCAGATGGAACATTCCCTGCAAAGCAAACTGACACAACACCCAGTGCTCCTAACTCAACTAGTGGAAGAGAGGGGGCAGTCAAGGCCAATGAGCAAGAGAAGCCATACTGCCCCTCAGCCCTGGGAACAAACACTTCTCTCTGTGTCCCCCTCTGCCATCCCAGGCCCCTCCTGTGCCCTTCTCTCAGCATGTCTCTGTTGCTTCCCATCTGGTCCACCATCTGTGACCACCTGCCCCCTCTGTTATTGTCCCTATCCCAGCAATCAACCCACTGTTCTCTCCTTCTTCTTTGTCTCTTTCCTCTGCCTTGACCTGGGTCACCCCTCAGGTGCAAAAGCAGGGTGGAAACAAGGATAGAGGGTGCATTGCCTGAACTGTCCTGGACAGAAAAGAAAGAGTTGATAGACTCTGACTCAGGAAACACCACCTGGGCCTAGCGCTCAGCCAGCCGCCCCTGGGCAGGTGCCAGAATCAGACTTCCAGCCTCTCTTCTCCTGGCAGATGTGCCAGTAAAGGCTGCGGCCTGGAGGGGCTCTGCGGGTCTGAGGGCTGAGCAGACCATAGGCAGGAGCTCCTGTGTGTCCCAGCAGAGGAAAGAAGCAGCGGGGAAAGTTCAGGCTCCAAGGGAGACATCTAGCCCAAGTTGGAGCAGCTGCAGCCACAGGGAAGAAGAGGGGGAAGACAGCAGCATAAACAGACACCAAACAGGGAAGACAAAGCCCCAGGAAAGAAGCCAGCAGTGGAGAGAGTAGGAGAGAAGGAGAGAGACACACAGGAGCTAGGGAGAGGATAACAGAGAGGCAGTGCTGAAGGGCCGCATGGGCAGGGTGGGAAAGAAGGGAGAGACAAAGAACAGAGAGAGAAAACAAAGGGGCAGTGGGAGTCAGCTCCCCCCACCCAGCCTCCTGAACTTTGGAGTTGCCTTGGTGACTGCCTCCAAGGGTCAGGGCTGAGGGGGGAGGGTGGGGCTGGGACTGAAGGGCCAGTCCCAGCTGCCCAGGGGCTGCCCTGGCCTTCCCCTGTAGTCTAGAGGAACTGCCCTGGTGAGAAACCACATGCTGAGCAGGGGCTGCCTCTGCCCCATCCCTTAGTGTCTAGCCACACTCAGGGGATGGTGGCGGGGTAGAGGACCAGACCAGGAGCCCCTTCCTTTCCACCCCCTTCCTACTGCCACAGATGAGGCTGGCCCCCCCTTCCTCCTCCTGGAGCAGAAACTGAAGCTTCAGGAGACACAGAGCCTGGTCCACATCCTCTGAAAGCTCCCACACCTGCTCCCTGTGGCCACCTGAGGGGTGGGGTGGGCAGCAGCTGTCCAGCAAGGAGCATGAACGGGGAGGGGGCCTGAAGCCACACCCTGACTCCATGCTTCTTACAGATGGTGGGAATGGGGGCCTGCCAGGCTCTTCTGTTCTTCCTTTCCTGTGTGTCTGAAGGCTGTCTGGAGTGGGGTGCCCTGACCAATCCCTGGGTGTATAACTAACACTGGGCCTCCCATGAGGATCTCAGCTGTTCCCAGCCTCGCAGAGGCACTCAGCAACCTGAGTCTGGTCTCCTCCTTGCCTTTCACCCCCACAGCTGACAGAAAGCACAGAACATGGTCACCCACCCATCCAGCTCTCCTCCCCCAACCCTGCTATCCAGGGAGTCTGCAGGCTGAGCGCTTGACCAAGCAGCAGGAATGCCCAGTCTGGGTCCTGGCCAGGCTCCCACGCCCCTGGGACTCTGTTCTCTCCCCACCAGAACAGGCCCTGGGGGTCTCTGCCCTCAGAGCCCAACAGAATGAGTCCTGCCTCATCCTGATTCCCATACCCCATCCCCTGAGCCTGGGCTGGTCATGGCCATCGGGGAAGACTGGCACCCTAAAAACAGTCTATGCGGAGGCAAGGGAGCCCCGGAGGCCTTAGCCTGCCCCTGGTTTCATTGTAACCCCTCCCCCAAGCCAGACCCCCAACCAGGGACTCTGACAGTGGGGTCTGTTTGGACAGAGACAATGAGCTTTGGCCTCACTTCCTGCGGGAGCTCTGAAGGGGGAGCCAGGCCAGGCTCTTTCTGCCTGGAGGAAAAGAATGCACTAGACAAAGTCCACGTCAGCCCATTTTGTGGCTCAGCCGGGAGCCAGAAGGGGCCAGAAGAGGACCGCAGGGTCCTGACCCCTCGGCAGCCACCCAGTGCCCCTGGGTCCTCTGCTCTGCCAGAGGCTGTATGAGATCACAAGAACATGCTGTGGGACATGGAGGGGTGCTGAGGGCCTGCTTGCCTCTCTTCTCCTGGCCAGGGTCCTCCCCACCCCTCCCCCAGATCTCCTGGCCTCCCAGTCTTCCACGCGCCTTTTTTCACAATTCTTGGCAGCCACAGCCAGGGCAGCCTCACAACACTTCCCCCAGCACGTCACAGGCTGGTAGGCAGGGGGCAGCCAACCGAAGCAGCCCAGCCCAGCCTCGGGCAGCAGGCGGGGCCTGCACCAGCTGCCAGGATTCCTAGGGCTTCTTCCCAAGCTGGTTCTTGCCCTCTCACCCTCTGGGCCAGCCACCAGGCAGGTGGGTCAACAGTTCCTCCTTGGATGGCTCTCTACCTCCCGTGGTTGCCTGGGACCTCTGGTGGGCCACCTCCCACCCCAACACCACTTTGGGCCCCTCCTTACCTGACACCAACACGCTCATGATGGCCTCCAGAGGCCGGTTGTTATCCAGTGCCCGGCTCAGCCTCAGCTCTCCCGTGGAAGCGTTGAGTAGGACCAAGCTGAGTTCATTTCCCCGCTCAAAGCTGTAAGTCAGGCTGTCCGAGATGTCAGGGTCATGAGCAGGCACTCGGCCAATGGCACCCCCAGGGAAGCTGCTCGAGCGGTTGGTGACATAGTTGTTGAAAAGGATTTCAAAGTTGCCCAGCACTGGTGGGTTATCATTGCGGTCAAGGAGGCGGACATGGACAGTAGCCCTGCTCACCAGTGGAGCTGATGTGGCCTGGATGACCAGGACGTATTCAGGCCGGTCCTCGTAGTCTAAGTCCACCAGGGCAGTCAGCTCCCCAGAAAAAATATCCAACTGGAAGACCTCAGGGATGTTACCCTCCACAATCTGGTACATGATCTGTGCATTGGTGCCTTCATCAGGGTCAGTGGCCGTGACACGGGCCACGGCCAGCCCAATGGGGCTGTTCTCTTCCACAAACACATCAAACTCATCCTGCTCAAAGACAGGTGGATTGTCGTTCACATCTAACACAGTGACTGTCACTTCCATGGGTGTGCGGGCTGGGGGCATCCCCTTGTCCACTGCATATGCTCGTAAGATGTACTGGGCCACATTCTCACGATCTAGCCTGCGCAGTGTTCTCACTATGCCTGAAGTGGACTCTACAATAAAGTCACCATCTCCATCATCACCTCCTTGGAAGGTATAGAATACCCGGCCATTAAGACCAGAGTCACGATCAGTGGCTGAGATCTGCAGGACACTGGTGAAAGGGGGCACATCCTCATAGACACTGCCCTGATAGGAATCCCGGAGGAACTGAGGAGCATTGTCATTCACGTCATTCACCAGAATCTCCAGGTAGGTGGTGTCAGACTTCTGGGGAATGCCATTGTCCCGAGCAGTGATGGCCAAGGTATAAGACACCTGGTCTTCATAGTCTAGTTCAGCCTGGGTGGTGACAGCCCCTGTGTCTGCATCAATACGGAACTGGGGGATGCTGTCCTCCATAAAGTAGGTAATACGGGCATTCTCACCTGTGTCCTCGTCTGTAGCACTGATCAGCACCACCGTGGTGCCTGCTGGCCGGTCCTCATTAACATTCACTGTATAGTGGGAGCTCTGAAAGACCGGACGATGGGTGTTGGCATCAGTGACATTCACCACAATCTGTGCTGTATCCTGCCTTGTGCCATCAGAGGCAGTAACAGCCAACACATACTGCCTCTCAAGTTTGTAGTCCAGTGGCAAGGCGAGGGACACCAGCCCACCGCCACTCTGACTGGTGATGGAGAAGCGGTTGCGGGTGTTACCGCTGGTGATCTGGTATGTGATGACACTATGAGCATCTCGGTCCACAGCTGACACAGTCACTACACTGGTGCCCACAGCTGCATCCTCATTGAGCCGAACTGTGTACTCTGGCTGGGTAAAGGTTGGGTTGTTATCGTTGACGTCCAGGATGGTTACACTGACACTGGCTGAGGCAGTGAGTGCTGGGATGCCATGGTCTCGGGCTTCTACCCCAAAGCTATAGAAATCAACTTCCTCCCGGTCCAGTTCAGCAGCCACAGAGATCCAGCCTGTGCCATTGTTGATGGTGAAAGGGAAGTCATGCCCAACTCCAGCAAGGCGGTACTCCAGGCGGGCATTGTCACCAGCATCAGCATCAATTGCCTGGACATGGAGAACCAAGTAGCCTAAGGGGACACTCTCCAGGACAGTAGCTTGGAAAGGGGTGCTGACAAAGATAGGGGCATTATCATTAATATCCAGGACTTGCACTGTTACCAGGCCAGAGACATTAGACAGTGGGGGCCGACCCCCATCCTGTGCCCGCACCCGTAGAGTATACTCTTTGGTTGTCTCATAGTCAAGAGGACTCACCACATCCAGGGCCCCAGTCTGGGCATCCAGATAAAACTGTCCCCGAGCATTGCCACTCATGATGCTATAGTGCACCAGGGCATTGCTACCCTTGTCCCGGTCCGAGGCTGTGACACGGAGTACTGGTGCCCCTGGGGTCACATCCTCTCGCACCTGGACCACATAACGCTTCTCACTAAACTGAGGGGCATTGTCATTGTCATCCTCCACAGACAGAAAAACAGTGGCTGTGGCACTCCGTGGACCTGGGTCCCGACCCTGGTCAGTTGCTTCCACTGTCAGCTTGTAGGACTCCACCTCTTCCCGATCCACTGGGCCACGGGTGCGGATCACACCAGATCGAGGGTCAATTTCAAAGACTTCCGAAGGGCTGCCCCCAGGCCCCTCCAGCAGGCGGTACAGAATATTGGCATTGGGGGGAGCATCACCATCCGTGGCCCTGACAGTGAGCACCTCATAGCCAACCTCCAGGTTCTCCCTGAGGCTCTCCTTGTACTCCTGCTGCTCAAAAACAGGGTCATGGTCATTGGTGTCAGTCACCAAAATGGTGAGTGTAGCCAGGGCACTCCTTCGAGGCATACCATGATCCTGTGCAGTGACCCTGAAGACATGGGTACTCTTGGTCTCCCGATCCAGCTCCTCTGCTGTGGTGACAGCACCAGTGATTGGGTCCAAGGAGAAGAAATGGTTGGAGCGGCTATCAAAGAGGGCATCCATGGTGTACTCCAGCCGACCTGCCTCTCCCTCATCTGGATCGATGGCACGGAGTGATGCAACAGAGGTTCCCGCTGGCTGGTTCTCAGGCACTGTGGCCTGATAGCTGGGGGGTTGGAACTGAGGTGCTGTATTTACATTCCTTTTTCGCCGTCCACCCATGGACTCCTCTGGTGACCCTTCCCCTGTCCTGAGCCCTGGGACCTGTGCCAGCTTGCAAGACTGACATTTCAACTGTGGAGCCTTTAAGCAAGGGTGTTCCTGAGGCAGGGTCAACTTGCCCTGTGGAGAAAGGTGGCCTCCAATGCCCAGGAGGCGACAGCTCCAGGGGCAGCCTTCAGGGGCTGGTGGAAGGGGGATATGGGCGCCAGATTCTGGACACCAGACCCTCAGGCCATCGTGGTGGGGCACCAGGTGGCCAGTCAGCTCGATGCCCGCATCTCTGCAGCGGCTGGTGTAGAGCCAGAGGTTCGAGGCTGAAGCTGGACAGAGCCAGCCCACGGGGGCGCAGGCCCCCGAGGAGCCTCGTCCCCCAGACCCGAGAGAACGACAGGGCCCCACTTGGTCTCCCAGTAGTGGTGGCAGCGGCAGCAGCAACAGCAGCAGCAGCAGCAGCAGCGGCAGCGGCAGC